GGGGGGGATGGGTGGAAGTATACGTCTTCCTCTGTCAGTAGGTGAGGCACTGACCCAGAGCTGCCCCAAGCTGCAGTGATCCTTCATAGGAAGTCTGTATAATGATAAATGATTTCTAATACAACATTCGTCTCCTTCTTCTTCTGCACAGATCTGAATTCCTTCCAGCAGACATCCAAATGGATAGATGACGTGCGGACAGAGAGGGGAAGTGATGTCATCATTATGCTTGTGGGGAATAAGACGGATCTGGCAGATAAGAGGTAATGAAGGAAGTACATCAGACGGGTGACCTCCGGAAAGGGGAAGTTTTATTCTTTAATTGTGGACAGTAACCCGTGACAACCACTCGGCAATCTCCTCTCATCCTCCCAGAGCAATGCTTCCAATACTTTGTACATCGTTTCTCTTTGTGTCACCTCTATGAAATACACCCGATAGATCCTAATGATAGGAGTTAGAGTGGACCCTTTAGTATCTGTAAGTCACCCCAATTGCTGCACCTTCACCCCTTAGATCACACCAATTCCTGCACCTTCCCCCCCCTCAGATCATCCCAATTCCTGCACCTTCACCCCTCAGATCATCCCAATTCCTGCACCCTCACACCTCAGATCACCCCAATTCCTGCACCTTTCATTCTCAGATCATCCCAATTCCTGCACTTTCACCCCTCAGATCATCCCAATTCCTGCACCTTCACCCCTCGGGTCACACCAATTCCTGCACCTTCACCCCTCGGGTCACACCAATTCCTGCACCTTCACCCCTCGGGTCACACCAATTCCTGCACCTTCACCCCTCGGGTCACACCAATTCCTGCACCTTCAACCCTCGGATCAGATCCAATTCCTGCACCTTCAACCCTCGGGTCACCCCATTTCCTGCACCTTCGCCCCTCAGATTACCCCAATTCCTGCACCTTCACCCCTAAGATCAGATCCAATTCCTGCACCTTCACCCCTCAGATCAGACCCTATCTCCACACCTTTAGAAGGTTTTGCATTCATAGGTGGTTCCACAATGTGAAGAAGGGGTGCAGTCATCCAGGTAATGATGTCTGCCTGTACACTGGTACTGGGATGAGGGCCGGCACCTGAAGTCATCAGTGTCAGTGAGTCCTCTCTGAAACATCATGGAGGTGTATGGACCACGGGGGCAGCGGGACAGCCCAGCTTAGTGAGAGTTCAGTTGCAGCTTATGGCAGTGGTGCTGTATGTGTAGGGGCCCACCGGAGGATTCTCCAGTCCAAGCCGGCACGTATGTCACATGACAACCTCCCGGGTGCTGCTGACGCATGCCTACGTGTGGCCCGCATTGAGTATTTCATATCACTCAGCATATTGATACAAAAAGAACATGGATTGATTGGTTTAGGTTGTCTGTGTCATCCATCTCCATTCCACTTTGTTTTCTTGTACATCAGTTTTTCTGAATACAATGTGAGTGATACTATGAAAGTCATTTATATGCATATTAGAAATGTCCTATATACACATGTATATCCCTGCCGCTGTCATAGAGACCTCCCATGTCTATCCCTGCCGGTGTCATAGAGACCTCCCATGTCTATCCCTGGCGGTGTCATAGAGACCTCCCATGTCTATCCCTGGCGGTGTCATAGAGACCTCCCATGTCTATCCCTGGCGGTGTCATAGAGACCTCCCATGTCTATCCCTGGCGGTGTCATAGAGACCTCCCATGTCTATCCCTGGCGGTGTCATAGAGACCTCCCATGTCTATCCCTGGCGGTGTCATAGAGACCTCCCATGTCTATCCCTGGCGGTGTCATAGAGACCTCCCATGTCTATCCCTGGCGGTGTCATAGAGACCTCCCATGTCTATCCCTGGCGGTGTCATAGAGACCTCCCATGTCTATCCCTGGCGGTGTCATAGAGACCTCCCATGTCTATCCCTGGCGGTGTCATAGAGACCTCCCATGTCTATCCCTGGCGGTGTCATAGAGACCTCCCATGTCTATCCCTGGCGGTGTCATAGAGACCTCCCATGTCTATCCCTGGCGGTGTCATAGAGACCTCCCATGTCTATCCCTGGCGGTGTCATAGAGACCTCCCATGTCTATCCCTGGCGGTGTCATAGAGACCTCCCATGTCTATCCCTGGCGGTGTCATAGAGACCTCCCATGTCTATCCCTGGCGGTGTCATAGAGACCTCCCATGTCTATCCCTGGCGGTGTCATAGAGACCTCCCATGTCTATCCCTGGCGGTGTCATAGAGACCTCCCATGTCTATCCCTGGCGGTGTAATAGAGACCTCCCATGTATATCCCTGGCGGTGTCATGGAGACCTCCCATGTATATCCCTGGCGGTGTCATGGAGACCTCCCATGTATATCCCTGGCGGTGTCATGGAGACCTCCCATGTATATCCCTGCATGTGTCATGGAGACCTTTGTATACATCCTGAGCACTCCAGTATATTTGTATTTTAGCTTTTTCTATATTCATGCAATAAAACCTCATTTTGCGCGGTCAGTAGACGTAGCTCCGCCGCTCTGCATGTCCCGTCTTCAGTTACTTTGTGTCACATTTTATTTCCTTTGCAGCTCTTTTTTTCTTTTTTGTTTTCATGTTTCTTTTTGTTTTGCTGTATTTTTTTTTTTTCTTTTTTATTTCCGTTTCATTTTGGTTTTGTTCCATTGCTATAGACAGGTTTCTGTGCAGAGGGCGAGAGGCAGCACGGGGGACTGAATGTCTTGTATAAGGCGGGATGTGTTGTCACACAGGTAGGTTCCCGCGCCTAGTCTGCGCTCTGTCACCCTCCTCCTTGATTTAAAGGGGCGGTCACTACTTAGTGTGACTGAAGTTGGTGAGACGCGGCTGCTAATCATGTCCTAACCCTTTCCTTGTCTGATGTCGGGAGATCACCAACTCTGTCTGCAATGTAAATGATGATTTGGATGTTGGAGGTTTGTCTGGGGGGGAAAAAAACAAACATGTTCAGTATTTTTCTGCATTGAAATTTTTCTTTTAAAGCACTGGAGGTACAGAACAATCCCGGGCGATCTGCCAGAAATCCAGAGAGCTCCTGACATCCTGTAGTGAGCTGACAACACTGGCTCCGAAATCACAAGCAATGGTGACAGCCCTGCCCAGATCTATTTTGTTGAACTACAGAATGCCCCTCCTCATGGCCATAACACCCCCCTTCCCTCCTCCTCATGGCCATCATCCCTTCCCTCCTCCTCATGGCCATCATCCCTCCCCTCCTCATCTGCATAACACAAAGGGAGATGTTCTGTAGTCCAGCCGCACAGAACTAGACAGGGCTGACAACACTGTACCAACCTACTGCTGGTGCTAACTGTATTTCTGCCAACAGATATTTTTTGGTACCTGTGACAACACATGGGGAAAAGTGCGAGTATTACAGAGATTTACTGAATGTCATTTTTTTTTCTGCCCAGACATCCCCCTTGACGAGAACTAACCCCGGATTGTGCATCTATCTCCCCGTACCCCTCTGCTTCATGTATTGCTGTGCAAATAAGAATCAGGAGAGAGGTGGTCATATCTAAACCTTACATGTGTGTTCTTATCTGTGTTCACCGTGTCCTAAATAGACAAATCACCACCGAGGAGGGAGAGCAGAGGGCCAAGGAGCTCAGCGTGATGTTCATTGAAACTAGTGCCAAGACCGGGTACAATGTCAATTATGCCCATGATGTTTTTATTTGACATCTGGCTCAATTCACAAAGCTGACACTTCAGGATAAGGATCCTTATTGTTAAAAAGTGATCGTTATATTCCGGCGAGTCCAATGTGATTTGGAAATTACAGTAAAGAATCTTATCCTGGGGTGTTAGCTTTGTGAATTCACCGTATTGTGCCGTCATAGTGTATGGTAGGGTCATGCGGTCTTCCAGGCGCAGGCCATTAGTTGGGATTGTAGGAGGTGGGGGTGTGAGCGGGAGAGATGGGGGCCATGTATTGTCCAGTAAATGGGTGGTAGTGTAATTCCATCGGGTTGTATGACAAGGTGGAGAAGGGAGGTATAAGCTGTAGGAAATAGTGGTAGGGTAGAGTTGGGATTTGAAGGGTGTGTAGGGAGTACGTTGGACAGAAGAGGGGATTTGAAGGGTGTGTAGGGAGTACGTTGGACAGAAGAGGGGATTTGAAGGGTGTGTAGGGAGTACGTTGGACAGACGAGGGGATTTGAAGGGTGAGTAGGAAGTACGTTGTAAAGCTGACACTTCAGGATAAGGATCCTTATTGTTAAAAAGTGATCGTTATATTCCGGCGAGTCCAATGTGATTTGGAAATTACAGTAAAGAATCTTATCCTGGGGTGTTAGCTTTGTGAATTCACCGTATTGTGCCGTCATAGTGTATGGTAGGGTCATGCGGTCTTCCAGGCGCAGGCCATTAGTTGGGATTGTAGGAGGTGGGGGTGTGAGCGGGAGAGATGGGGGCCATGTATTGTCCAGTAAATGGGTGGTAGTGTAATTCCATCGGGTTGTATGACAAGGTGGAGAAGGGAGGTATAAGCTGTAGGAAATAGTGGTAGGGTAGAGTTGGGATTTGAAGGGTGTGTAGGGAGTACGTTGGACAGAAGAGGGGATTTGAAGGGTGTGTAGGGAGTACGTTGGACAGAAGAGGGGATTTGAAGGGTGTGTAGGGAGTACGTTGGACAGACGAGGGGATTTGAAGGGTGAGTAGGAAGTATGTTGGACAGAAGAGGGGATTTGAAGGGTGTGTAGGGAGTACGTTGGACAGAAGAGGGGATTTGAAGGGTGGGTAGGAAGTACGTTGGACAGAAGAGGGGATTTGAAGGAGGGTAGGTAGAACGTTGGACAGAAGAGGGGATTTGAAGGGTGTGTAGGGAGTACGTTGGACAGACGAGGGGATTTGAAGGGTGTGTAGGGTGTACGTTGGACAGAAGAGGGGATTTGAAGGGTGGGTAGGAAGTACGTTGGACAGAAGAGGGGATTTGAAGGGTGTGTAGGGAGTACGTTGGACAGAAGAGGTGACAGTGCAGTCTAATAGGCGGCATAGTTACCCCCAGCACAGTCCGTAATATATGGGACGCACCCCAATTCTTTCACCTGTGATGAGGGGTACGGCTGTTACTCAGCTCCGCCAGCACAGAGCAGTGGAAGGGGAAGGCAGGGAACAGAATTTCCATCCAGACAAAGCACACATGGGGGAGCAGGTCTAGAAAGAAGTAAAAGGGTGTGAGACCTCATTGGGCGTTAAAGCGATAAACGAAGACTGACGCACACATTCATTGCATGCAAATCTTTGATCCGCGTTCTTCTAATTCCAGCTCTTCCGTCGCGTCGCCGCTGCTTTACCCGGCATGGACAGCACGCCAGAGAAGAGTAAAGAGGACAGTATCCTTTGCTTGTCATTGAGGGAATTCAGGCAGAAGTCACCTACACCCTTCAGTGTGGTTCAGCTATGCAAGCCAACGCTTAGTATTTATAAGTCCCGAATGGGCAGAGAACAGCTTTGATTTGAAGGGCACGTATTGATGCTTGCAGCACTCTAGGCAAACAAACAGCAGAGCGCGCACATGTCGAGTTGAGGTAAGTATACATCCGTGGAGGGGGAGGGGGGCCTTAGGCTAGGTCAGGGTAAAGGATGGATAAGTGCATTTTGTTTGAAAACTCCCTCCATTAGATAGTAACGGGCCAATGTCACACTGTGGGAGTCCATAGCCCTGTGCGAGAGTCATTTCCTGTGACTTCTACCTTACCCAGGACTTTTACTCCTGATGGGGGATAATAAGGATGGTAAGTTGTAGGTCTGCATTACAGTGACCTTGTTACTTTTCCTGGGTGAGTAAAGTACAATTTTACTGTGGTCATTTGACCACCCACCCGGCATCCTGATTGGATGAGAAGCCGCTGTCACACTCCCTCGCAGCTTCCCAGGCACCGAGGGGTGTGGCTGTTAGGTAAGGAATGTAAGTGGCAAGTGCTGCTGCACTCTATCGCTGAGCCAGTAACAGAGATATTTGTGATCTCTCCACCACCTGTTGCGCTTGGGTAGGGTTGCCACATTTTCTTCAAGTGAAACCCAAATACTCTAGCGCTGCATGGCAATTTTTTGGGGGGTAAAATATACAGGGGAGGCAGAGAGCGAGGAGGGGCAGCTAGGGGAGGTAGAGAGCTAGGAGGGGCAGCCAGGGGAGGCAGAGAGCGAGCAGGGGCAGCCAGGGGAGGCAGAGAGCGAGGAGGGGCAGCCAGGGGAGGCAGAGAGCGAGGAGGGGCAGCCAGGGGAGGCAGAGAGCGAGGAGGGGCAGCCAGGGGAGGGAGCAAGGAGGTGCAGCCAGGGGAGAGAGAGCCAGGAGAGTGTGCCCTTCAAGACTTATCTGCACTCTGTGTTTCAGACACCACCTTCTTCCCCAAATTCCAGCGTCCCTCTGTGTCCCGTGCCTCCTCCATTCACTCAAGTTGGAACAGCAGGACCCAGTGGTTGCTCCTCTCTGCCTGACATTTAGTGTTCAGGTTCCAACTGGCCTGAAACCCAGACTGTCCGAGTGAATCCCAGACAGGTGTCAATCCTACGTTCGGGGGATGTGCCCAGGCGCACCCTATACATCCCGTGCGCATGCCTATACCCCCGGTCCTATGGGGTTCTGCCATAGCCACCTGTTCATGCACACTCCCGTTAGAGGACTGTAGCATGGCGTAAGGACACTGCCTGCGCCGACACAATCAGGCAGCCTTAGAGGACAACATACAGAAGACACGCCTCTAGTCCTCTTCCAAGGGAGGTGATTGGAAGCTTTCTCCTGAGGCTTCCAATCACTTTCCTTAGAGGAGAAGCAGAGGCGTGTCTTGTGTACTTAGTGCAGCCAATCTGCTTGTGTCTGCACAGGCAGCACCCTCGCATCACCCCAATGAAGGGGTACGAATGCATGCTGATGCTAAGAATGATGGGACAAGTAGTCCTAAGGAGTGTAATGGGGTGACTTGTGATGGGGTTATGGGTTTGCGATCCCCGAGCAGAACTTCGAGGAAGCAAGAGAACTCCTTTTAATAGTTGGAAAGTGCTGTATGCAACACATTGCCTTTGGCAGGTTGAAATAGGGATATGACCTAATGACTAGAATCTCCAATGGCGCTTACTTTAGGCAATGTAGAACTTGTGCCCGGAGCCCTCTAGGAATGTCATTTTCCCTTAACCCGCCCTCTCCAGTGATTGACATCAAGTTGGAGAAGCCCCCCGAGCAGCCGGTGACGGAAAGCGGCTGCTCCTGCTAACACCTCCGGATATTCCAACGGTCTGCACCGGAGATCCCGCTGCCGTCCAAATGCATCAAAAAGGAAATCAAAAGTGTCTATTTATCTCTTAGATTCCCAGTGTGTGGATGCAGTGTGTGCTCCGTCATCTTATGGGGGTGGGAGGGTGGGACCCCTGGGAACAAGCCACAGCCCGCCTCATCTCACTCAAACTGCATGGTGTTGTGTACGGTTGGAGAATGAGAATTTTTCTGTATGTATAGTTTTTATTTCTTGCACTTTGGGCCCCCCTTGCCAGAACTCAAGGGGGCCCTCCTAATACTCTCAATGTGACAAAATAATGGAAACATTTGTGCCGACATGTTCTCGGTGAATGAGCCAGGATGCAGCGGTGAGTCAGGAAGCACAATGCACCTTCCGCCCACCTTAGTTCTCACTACTCCAGGTACACGGAGGTGTCCTTACCGGTGTACAGATAACATGGACAGACCAGAGTGTCTTACTTTGAGATTCATATATATATATTTTATTTATTTTGAATTCTTTGGTCTGCTCATAAGTGACACTTTATTTTATGTTTTTATTCAGAGTTATTTTTGTATCAGATTTGCTAACTTCTAAATCCTTGTCGTAGCTGACGAGCGATCTTTAGTCATTGATTGCACTATGAACGGTCCTCTGATATTAAGAAATCTACTTTATAAGAAAGTTCCAGGTAAAGAGGAAGTCAACTCAACTTTACATTATCAGCCAATAGAGAAGTACACGGGCGCCCCAATCCAAATTCTTCATACCAGATCCAAACCAATCCTAGCTCTACATACCCAAACCAATCCTAACCCTCCATACCCACCCAAACCGGTCCAAACCCTCCATACCCACCCAAACCGGTCCAAACCCTCCATACCCAAACCAATCCTAACCCTCCATACCCACCCAAACCGGTCCAAACCCTCCATACCCAA